CGTAACAGGCCATATAGCAAGTCCTCCGCGTAGGGAAAACGGTGTGTATCTGGACTATGTCAGTCGTCCGGCGAAGAAGGTGGACTCTATTCCTGGTCGACTAGAGCTTGGTTCGTCGTGCGGATTCCGGAGCATCGACGTAAGATCCAACGATTTGGGTCTGATACAAACCTCGATGTATACTATAGGTACATCCGAGAGAAGACAGATAGAAAGCCCCATTTTCGCGGGGTTGCTGCTTTTCCTCGAGATAAGCCAGAGCTTGGGATCGAAAGTGCGGATAGTCTATGGCTAATCTGCTTTCTCGAGGCGGTTATCATGATCGTGCTCGGTATGTTCAATCCGGGATCCGGCCCGTTTCTTACTACTGTGCAGTCACCATAGCTAACAGTGGTAGGACCAATTTATTATCGCTTCGAGTTATGTTGGCCGAATTGATCGGTTGGAGGCACGACCAAATGCCTAAGGTATTTTGGCCGAGTGGTATCACGCTTGATAAGCTATGTGGGACTTTGGCATTCATATCAATCACGGGATAAGATTATTGATTGCTCCTGGATGATCTATCGTTATGCACTAGTTCATATCTAGACTATGTCAGTCCGAGTTCTTTGAATCGAGGCTGGTTGGTTCGCATATGCAATTCGCAGTATATTACGACATTCTGATACTCGAAAGCTTCCAGAGCGCCTCTATTCGTGAAGTGGACACCGTGATCGGCAGTGCGCAATTTAGCCAAGGTCTTTATTGGACATCCAAAACTTCTACCGGACAGGCCTAAGTGTTCACTTCTCTCTGGGGAAAAGCAGAGCTAGAGCTCCATGCTTATAAGGGTAAGCTGTATCAATATCCATCTGTATACACTATTTTGTAACTGTTGGTTAGCAGTGGTATCCTCGGGATCCTAACAATCACGACAACGATGCCACCGTCTTGTTTAGGCAAACCGCCTTGTTTAATATGGATATTAGACCCCCTTGGTTAACCTGAATTAAGAGCAGGGCGTTATCCTATGTTTGGTGCCTGACTTTCTTAACGCATGATGTCGTCGTTCATCCTGCAGTAATTCTCCTCGCCTCTTGTACAATGCCGGGTTCAGTCGGGGTCAATCTTCCGTTCGAGACATCCTTGAGATAGACCATCCATAAAAAGGCAAACACCGGCATGACAAAATTACTTACTGTTGCAATGGCCAGTATCAAGCTTTTCAATTCATAGGTGGCTATGACGCTGCTGCTACACGGACGTCACAACAAATGGCCAACCGCACTTGAAAGTTGAAGACGTTGTGTCAATATTGCTTAAGCATAAATATCCAGCAAGCCAGTACAACAGGACCTTTTCTGTTACCATCAGATGGAACCCCGAAGACTACAGAGCACACCTGGACGCTGACAGATTCCAAGCTATCCTATGTGTGTTCCGAGAAACCGAATGGTCGGTCAAACATAGTGGCGAAGCGAGAATCAATACTTTTTCTGATAACACCAAGCCGCGGCTTGTATTCTTTATGAGCGTGGGTTGGAATAGACGGGTGACGATAGACGCATACCATGTATGGGATTGTTACATATTGACGAAATACCATGAAGGAAATCATAGGCAGCAACGGGTACCGACCACTCGCTACCACTAAATGGCATGTTCCTCAAAAGAAACTATCCCCTCCAATTGCCAAGAGATAGTCCCCATTTAAAAGCCTTTGATTCCTGCCTGCATGGATCTGTTGTGTTAAGTCCCAAGAGTGTTTCTGTATCATCTGTGCTGCCGGCTGCGAGGAAAGAGGGATATGGTTGGCAAGACTTTTCTTTTCCAAACACACAGACGCAATTTGGCAGCGGCAAGTGCGCCAGAGATGATCAATTACACCATGGACCGAATAACAATGTCAGTGATGCGATCTAGCTTTTGGTGTGGACGCTCAGGGGATCATTGTTATCCGAGATGAAGGCATTAAAGAATGCGAACCTAACGCATGGATACCCTTATAGCTAATAAGGATAAATTATCCGGTTCTCAAGCTAGCTGAACAGTTTCGTTATCGCCCTGCTTTTGCTCTATGGCAGGATTGGAGAACTTACAGGAAGATAATTACAGAGCCACAAATAAACCAAACTGAACACGATCCATCCTCAGTCTCCTGGCACTATGAGAGAGGTCTACAGCGTTGACGAGAAAGACTATGAGACAGACCCTCGAGCTCTTGGATGCTAGGGTTATGTTCAAGATTCTTCATTCAGGGGCCACTAGAAAATCCCCTGAACCTTTTTCCAAGCATGGAGACAGGGGGGTGGGTTCGCTTAACCGTGGCAGGAAGTCATCCTTATTCAGAGCTGCGGGCATAGGAAAATAGTGGATCCTCTGCTGGATACCGATCCATCACAGCCTGAGAAACCTGTCCTCCGGAGGCACAGAGATGCAACAATCCCACGAGTTATAGGTGCTTTGGCGAAGCACTCCGTCACACCATTCAATCGGGGCATTTTCAAGGCTGAAGACAATAATTATTACGATACAACAGCACAGTGCCCAGAAAGCACATCTTACTGTCATGTTCTCGGACACTTTTTTTTTTTTTTTTACGTCTAAAGGCGTCAAAGCAGCCTAGGAAGTACAAACACCTCTGGATTTAAACACAATTACCAGAAGAAGCCCGAAATAGTTTCCATTCTAAGCGAATTTGCCGCGAGGGCGTGAATTGCAACTCCTGCATTGATTGTTAAGCTCCTAGATCCCTATAACTTTACCGTTTACATCCAGGAATATTAATGCAGTGGTTCTCCCGGCAGTGGGAACAGGACCCTCACACGGTCTATATATATGTAGATTGACCACGATACTATGATTATATCATCGCCGAAGTTTGATAATCTGGTGACAGACTCGTTGGACCATCCCATTTTCAAGACAAACCATGCGTTGGCTCTTGAGATCAGATCTTCATCTGGTCACGGTCCGCACGTCGAGACAAATCTCAGACTAGAAAGGTGTAACGGCTGTCTTTTTAATGCACAGAGTGCTTGTCGAACCTAAATGTGGCCAGCTAGTGCTGTCGCTTGGCTTTGGTCGTTGGTCGTCGGTAAAAGCCCCTTCAACGTGTCCTGGAAAGAATTTATCTAAAGCAGCTATTTGAATGAGAGATGTTAGAGTAAAGATGGACCTCACTATACAGCGAAAGGCTGTTTCTGTCACATGGGGTATAGTCTAATGATGGGGGTCCGCGACATAGAGAGACAACTTTCAATTGGTACAAAATATGTGCCGAACGGCTGAACCCAGGTGCCCCCAGTACGCCAAAGATTCCTAGCTTGACAACACATTCTGCCCTGAAATGAGATCTCTCGATGGGCAGACTTCACTAGATGGAATGAAGGAATAACTAGCTTCATGCCTGGACAGCCTGTTTATCCAGCGGCGTAGTCCTCAGGCAGATAGTGCTCCAGATACTAAATACGCTTTCTAATTCGATAATAAGGCTATGACTGCCCGTCGGGTACTTAGACATACCACAGATTGAGTACCCAAAGACGAGTAAGAATCTGGGGTCATTTAATTGTGCAGTTGTGATGGAAGAAATCGGTAATTCGTCCCACAAAATCACTACTTTACTAAATTTTCTACATCCTGCATGTTTGCTCGGCTTGGTTGTCCCCGGTCTAATGATTTGGTGGAGATTACCTGGCCCGCGCTGGTCGAGGTCACTCACATTCAGGCTATTGCTCCGAGTATTGAGGCAACGGAGGTTCTCCGCGGTCAGCTCTGGGTTTGCATGTGCAGGCTTGCCCTAAAACCCCGAGTGGCCCCTACGAAGTTGCTACAAGATATTTTGGTCACGAGATCGCATACCGAAATGAGTCCTTGGGTGCTTTGGTTCCAGCCAGCAGCAAAGCTTATAGAAGTGGGGAGGGAATTACAAAAAGGAGCCATGAGCAGGCAAGTCACTTCCCCAGGGGCTAGCTGCGTACTAACTGGTTAAAAACTGCTTAGAATTAAAACGGCGAAATATCTTGCATTATGAGGAGGTCTTCTGTCATGTGGAGGGCTGTGACAAAGCTAATGTATGGCCCTTCGCTCCAAGCACTTTCTAAGTACCTGGGGATTGATTATGTTACTCGTTAAGTACTTTATGCTAACTGATTTTCAACTGATTTAGAGAAGGTTCTCCGCCACCAATAACTTGCGAACTCACCTCGATAAACACGCAAATGTCAGCGTTGTTAGCGGTGATAAAGGGGGGGGGCCACGTGAGTTAGAGCGTAATTGACGAAGCAATTCGGTAAGTACTTCCAAATCACTTCCTAAGTAGTTACCATCATGTCGGTGACAAGGAGAAGTTTAACTGGTTATGAACTGCTTACGAACCGCTTAGCCTCACCTGCTGAATATGAGACGCAGAGCCGAGGACCTTGGGGGAGCCGTACCTTGTCGTTCGTGCGAGAGCAAGAAGGATTGTTGCAAGGACATCAATAAATGCGACAATTTCCTTCTTTTTTACTGTGGGGTTTTGACCACAACTCCCGCGCCAAAGCCGTTCAACCTAACTGCCTGGACTAATAACTTGGTACAAGAGTTAAGATATGGCTGACAAGTTGTTTGCACTCATGAAAACCCATTCTTGTCTCACCGCCCTCATCATCTCTATCGTTCTTCGACAGACCGCGTTTCTACATAGACCTGACTATGGAATGCATTCTGCAAGAAACTAACTGATGCTAAATTCCGTGCTACAAAGCGGCATAGTGGCAAAGATGCAATGAAGAAAGCAGGGTTGGAAAGACTCGCTAGGTAAGGCCAAAGAGTGCTCTCAGGAACGGGAGTGAATACTCGAGTATAGTATCGGAAGGTACTGGCGATACCGAGATGCTTCAAATCTCAGCGGAGTTAATATGCTCCAGCATGGATTACTCTTGTTCTATTGGCGCAGAGAGGAAGCATACACGAACAGATATAACTGCAAGTATGGCTTTGTCAATACTTACGATCAAGCAACAAGAACGAAAAACAATCAGCTTGTCGAATGCAACACAGTACGCCTTTGATAGCAGACTTAGGACGGTAAAACGCTAGAGTTCCCACGTCATGACTCAGGCCGTGCGTATCCGACAGTCCTTTTTTGAATGGAGCAATGTGGCCTGCTGAGCAAACCGGAGATACCAAAGGTCGCTACAACGGATTCAATGCAGGGGAAGAAGGGTAAGGTCATACTCTACGATTGCGTCGTTTCAAACGTCGACCATCTCTCTGATCTGGGGTTTTCTATCGAGGACCACAGTTGGGCAGTTGGTTCTAGGGTATTTTTCCCGATCATCCTTCAAATTCAAGCTCCTCTTCCCTTGCCAGAACCGACAAGCAACAGACCTCCTAACGTGATAGTATGGCTAGACATAAGCCAATTACATTCCAGAGGTGTCCTCGTCTCCGACTCGACGTGATCCTGCCTACGGAGAGCTGACACAACTAGAGTTCCAGGCACAGGTGAGCCTACGAAACGGGCGTCTTTATCAAGGGTATGATTGGTGGTCCAACTACAGGAGTAAAGAACGTCGCAAATATATGGCATTAAGTTAGATTGCTGCCGTATGAAGGGAGATTCATATCCGTTTTCACTGATTCTCGCATCGATCTCGATAAAACGGAGCAGTGGCTAGATTTCGATCCCTCGGGCAATAAAGACACTGAACTAGCTACAGTCAAACTAAATCATCACAGGGAATTCTACGTCAGGAAAAGGAGCTGGCAGATAAGTGAGTGGAGACAAGGTCAGTCAATCTCCGCACATGGTGTGTGCTGCAGCGACGTGGTCTTGAGTCTGCAACCCGTTGTCTCCGCTGCTCAGATACTCGTTGGCGTTCCGAGTGCGTCGTTTCCCCTTTGTTTCTACCTGGGATTTGCTTCTGACAATCGTCGGGCAAATGTCGCTCTAATCAGGGCCCGCACCTGTTTGATCGTTGTCACAAACGGCCACATTATCAACAACGACCGACTCAGTGAGGCGATGCCCATCGCTACCAATTGGTAGCATGCTGAGACATATAGATTTGCTTCTCTTTCACCCAGCGCCACCTTCACCTCCACCTTTAATGCTTGATGACGGCTGCCCATATAGTCTCCTATAAGCACAGGCAAGCAACCATGGATTCCATCTTTGGAAGGGTCCGGCCCCGCCGAGGGGTTTTCTTCAAAGAATGGGTTAATAATAAACGCGATCATGGAGTGGTACTTCGATGCTGGGGTGATGATGACCGTGTCTAATCTCCGCGAAAGGCTAACCAGGCTTCCAAGCTGGTAAGATACCCTTACCTAAGATTAGGACGGAAAGAACAGGCCTTCTAATAGAGGTTTATAGTCACGTTAAAGACAGACGGCCAACCCCAAGCCCAACAGCGAGCCTATATACAATCAACGAGGACGAGAATGCCCTCTAGTCACCTTACCTATGGAGCAAAATGTTGTAGATCAATATTTGCTGGAACAAGAGGCGAGGTAAATCTTCGTCTGAGACGGGTGAATTTTTGCATACACTTGGCTTAATACATACTTAAGATGAGGTAAACAAATGCTTCTCAGCAGTGTGTAAGCTCTTAGGATGGAGAGCACGATTCAATTGACGAGGGTATATGGTGCTCCATAGCACATAAAGCAGAAATCCGAATGTATCCAGTAATAATAGTCCATTTGAATCAATTCAAATCACAATGCATAGATAGACAAAATGCCAACAGCAGATAGTATGGTTTTTAATATATAGGTAGAGTCCCAAGAATAGGCTCATCCACTCCAAAACGCCGAAACACCATTTCGGGGGGGGGGGGGGGTATGACTGTCCGCGCGCCTCTGCAACTATCGCCACAAATCCAATGCTTCCTCGTAGCCTTTCGTGTCATGATTTCCCTGGCCAGCAGTGAAACAGAGCCAATAATATATAAAGAATGGAAATACAGATCCAAGAGCCGACACCAAGCCGACACAGTCTAGGATATATGGACGTTTCCTGAAAGCAAAACATGGCGGAGCAATAAGCTCGAGAATGATGAGGTCCAGCCATCACTCAACCGGCGCGAGCATTTGCCTTCATTGATATATCCCCTTGGCGCAGATTATGACTCTCGAGATCTCCGAGTTGGTCGCATATCCAAGCCCGCTTGAATGGGTCCCTTCAAGGGACACGTAAACGTCATGAGATGCAATCCCATGGAGAGAGGAGGGGGGGGGGTATCTAAATAGTTTTTAAATCAGAAGGTAATTCCACCCATTTTGCTGCAAAACTTCGCGCCAATGAATCTGCGGTCTCTTGATCTCTTTCAATGCCCAGTCGCCACCGATTTGTTCGGGGGACTCCGGTGCCTCAAGCTTGATGGGCTGGCTCGAGCTCGGTGGAGAAGCTTCCACGGGGGTCTCTTCCACCTGGCAGAAGGTGTCGATAGGATCATCGGTCACTCGCCACACTTCCTGCAATACACGGTACATACGGCCAAAGCTTCCGAGATCGGCATGGTGGCCCAGGGCAGCACACCGATCGGCCAGGATAGTTCTAAAGTGGCTATTGGGTTGCGAGAAAGCTCCGGTTACCAGCAGTGGCCATACTAGAGAGCGATCGTATCCATTCTGACCGGCCGGAATATACTGCAGGGTGTTCGCAACTGCTTGGACTAAGTTTATGTTACTTGCTTGGCTTCGGTCAAATCCTGGAACCAGGCTGCAGAGGTAGATTCTCGCTGCGATTCGGAAGACTGCGGTCATGTTCTTGGTCAAGATATCGGGGCGCAGGGCTCCGGTCGTGGTATAGGGGCTCTCAAGTGTCTGGTCCGCGGGTTCGGTAAATTCTAATTGTCTTCCTAAGGCCGAAACATGGGAGCAAACCGCCATTGCATCAACTCGTCCTTCCTTCTTCAGCGCATCAAGGCACGCGATCTCGGAGATCAAGTACATCACACGGTCGTCGCAACCCATCAGCTCCCGCAATCCCAAAGACGTGCCACTTAGGTGCTTGGAGCGGTAAGTGTGAGCGAACTCGGGCGTTCTGCCATGCATAGCGGAGCCAAGAATATCAATCCACGATGTCAGTGTCATACTAAATGGAGGAAGCATGTATGGGTTGCCACATGGGGGGATTGTAGTCGAAAGACCGAGACGGCTCACCAAGTTCGAAGCCGCTTGGAAGTGATCGTACCAGGGGATGTCGGGAAGGTAGTCGTCCGCAGGGCCCACAGAGCAATGGAAGAAGATCATGGCTAATGTCGCATCAAGGATCTCCTCGTGCTTGGTGTCCTCACCCAGCGCGAGGCACAATTGGGAAACAGCTTCGAAGCGGTGTCGCATTATATCGTGATCGATCTGTTCCCCAACTAACCCTTCCGTTGTTTTGAGATGGATCGCAGCCACACTGAGGCAGCAGTGAAGATAGGTTTTGTTGGTCTCCAAGGCTTGCAGGATAGCTTGTGCTCGTAAGTGCCCGCGCTGGTGTGCCTCTAATACGGGGAAAATAATGCGCAAGACGTTGTTGATGAAGTGGTCGAGCAGGGGGCGGTCGTGGTCGCTCACAGGGATATTCGACTGCAAAATGGCGTAGGTCTGCTGGATGCTCTGGTCACAAAGCGCCGGATCGATGCCAGGGAGTGTTGGTGCCTGTGGGAAGTACTCGTCGGGGAACCACTCTTCTTGGGGGAATGTCGGTAGCGGTGCATTCAGCTGGGGCGGCGCAAAGGTACTTATCGTTGAGCTCATGGAGTCATGTCGTAGTGGCACATCATTGACAAATGTCTGTCTTTCTGTCTTGACGTCAATCTCGAATCCTGGGTAGGGCTCGTATATCGGTTGGGTCATGGCTGGTGTTGGCAGATGGGATGCGAAGATGTCCTGTTGTTCCGCAAAAACCGGACGGTTAAATTCAATTTCAGGAGTTGTTGGCGATGTCACAGCCAAGCTGCGACTGCGGCCCGATTGATCTACTGTACATGGTCATAAAGGTCAGCAGGCGAGGTGAAAGACCAGACGGTTGGTGGTGGTGGTGGTGGTGGTGGTAGGGGGGGCCTTCAACCCACCAGTAAGGGTACCATTGCGTTCATTCATCTTCGTCTGCTTAATCTTGTTCTTGATACGCTCCTTCTGCACTCGCCTGTGCTCTGGGTTACCCCACCAAGCAGGACGCTTGTACTCGCATTTCACACAAAGGTTAATGCAAGCACCACAGGATGGATGTTGCTCATCGCACTTCTTTCGGCGGAGGCGGCAGGTAAAACAGCCTACAGAGACCACACGCTTTCCATTAAAACCTAGACACTAGTTGATTGGTCTTCAGCTTGCACCTACCAGAGCGAGACCTCTTGTGCGACTTGTTGTTTGTCTTTCCCGTGCTCCCTGTGGAAGGGCCTTCACTGGACGAGGACTGAGCGGAGTCTATGGCGGCTTTGTTCGCCAGTGTAATCGAAGTGCTCTTCCTCCTCGATGTCAACGGCATTTTGACAAGTGACTCGAAGGATGATATTGCGAGATTGTCCGTGCACTCCGATATAAATTGCGATAAGACTGCGGGAGTGACCAGTTTTCAGTCGCCTGGTGAGCTATTGCGGGTATATTTATGGGTATCGTGGGGCAATCGCAAAGCTGAACCAGCAGCCTTTGCTATCTAATTAAGTATAAAAAGAAAAGGAAAGGTGCGGTTGCAAAGGATGCGGCGACAGATAACTAGCGTGCGAGACAGTGATTCGGAAAAAGCCATGATGGCGGGATAGACGAAGCTTTAAAACCAAGGTTCGCAACTGACAGGCACGCCATGATGTTTCTATTTTGGACATCAGATCGTCGGATGCAAGTGAGCAGCATCGGAGAGGGGGGGGGGGAAACGCGGCGGTGGGATGTAGCGTCAAAGATAGTGGATTGGGGGGGATGATCGCAGGACGGAACCCTGGCAGCTGCCACTAGCAGGGGTCTCAACAGCATGCACGAGCAAGGAACCAGACTAATTTTGGATAATTTTGGAATTTTTACCTTTCTCATTAGCGCCCATGCACGTCGTGATGCAGTATCATTGGTGACTTTCTTCTCGCCAATATTGGCGGCTGGGAAATTGATTGGGTTTGGATCTATCGCAATGTATCTGCCCGAATTATCCCAGAAATTAAGTGGTATTCGTCCTACAATAGAAATTTTATTATTTTTTTTTTTTTTCATTTCTTTTTTAGATTCTGGTTTCCATTTTCAGATCCAAGGTACCGTGCAACATCCCCAGAATCATACTACCAATGAACAGGGGACATAACCGGAGAATTAGGACGACCTCGCTTACCAGATTCGATATGCCTGATTCTTGAGCCTGGTCTGCTATTTTTCGCTTACCCGCAATTACCACCGAATCCAACCGTCTATAGAAGAGGACTTAATGATTTAAGGGAAAGGGAACCCGCCGTTCATGGCCTGATAGCGTGAATCACAAGGAGACCACCAATAATAGTGGACCCCAATAGCGATCAATTTAGCTGGAGTTACCACAAATTCCCCAATTGGGCAGGTGTTCTACGGACATACTAGTAGTCGAACCCCACTAGATCCGAATTCATACATATTTGACCATAATAACGGCTACACGAAGCGAGTCCGTCATTTCTCCATAGACTGTTGATGGCTCGGGTGTGACCTTACCTGGACAGACAGAGAGGACTGACTATCCCCAAAAAGTATTTGGCGAAAGTAACACCAAATGTAGAAAACGCCATTCATCAAACCTAGCACCAATCCAGTGTCAATGAGACGACCGGTGGTACTCGGGGACTCCCACGGAAGCTTTGCGGGGTTGTTGAGGGCTGACTCTACCAGCCAGATGCCGCATAGAGTCTAGTTGATGTTGATAGATTACAGCATTAGTGTAGAACGCTAATATAGTGGGGTGAGCCAAGCTTCCCTTTTCCCGCGATGATTCGATAACCGGCTAATACTGTCCATGCAGAACGGGAAACCCGCAGCCAACCGTCAGTGAGTGGGGAACCACTAAGTGCCCCGTGCGACCCCGACTGACTTTGGCCAAGACGTGTGTGATTAGATCTTAACTCTTAATTTGCATCATTTAGCCGCCCATCTTTTCCCGACAATCCTCCATAATTCCTCCCTCTGAAGCGCTTTTACTATTAATATCTTTCCTACATGGGTGCCATAATTAGCTCCATTCGGCGCCAATTAATTCCAATTCATCCCATCCCGTGCATTGGCCGCTAACCTGGCGTTCCCATGATCCCTTTCCCCCTCATTCAGCAGGGTCTGACAGCCACCGGATTTTCTCCACTCGGGGATGATTCGACAGGGAAGCTCACATTAGCCTTTAGTTGTTCTGCATCTTCGATCCTCCAGTCACACTGTCACGCCGGCAACAAATACAAGATAAATTATCGGACACAAATGACTCATGGACCGATTGGGAACTATATTCAATTCTTTCCATTAAGAGTCATCTGTCTTTACCTCTCACCTCATAGCATTTTATGAATTAATTTTTTTTAGTATTATTTTATTATAATTTTTTTTTTTCAGTAAATGACAAGATATCGCCTATCGTATCTTCAACATGACCCGAGTGAGCAAAGCTACCTAAATGCGGACAGGGTGCTGACAAGGCTGGCAGTCATCACAACGCTTCTGCCGGACCTTATCACATTCCTGCAGCTGCACGCTAGCAATTAGCGTTCATTTAGTAGCCGTAATTAAACGGTTCACCAATCACATCTGGAAAATGTAAGGTCAATCTGCAGATACCCTGGTCAAGAAGCACAAGGAGAAACTGTGATATGGATGTGCATAGTGACATGCCACAACAGCGGTCGAGTCACTTTTGTGGCTATTTCGAGGTCCCGATGTGAAGGCACAATGTGCAATAGTTCGTCTATTCTTCTTTGTTTCTTTTCTTTTCTTTTCTTTCTTCCCTTTTTTGTCTCCCTCGCATTGTCCGTTTTCAGTCTGTAACTAAATCCTGGAAGACAGCCGAGTGAAACTATGCAGCCATCACTGGGTAGTTCACAGAACTACAATTATATGTATAATTGTAGCTCGGTAGCACATGTGTTGTGCTGTACTCAATTCAACTCGTAACACAGAAAGAAGCCATTGCCGAATTGATGGACGCACACGGCATCTGTCTACCGTCTGTAGTGTACACCTGCTAGACAACATATGATTGAACCTAATTACTTGCCTTGGATTTGTCCGTGGCAAATTAGGAGTCTATTTATTAATAGAAATTATCAGTTCTCCGAGAATGGCGATTTAGTGTTCGTCCATCGGGTCTACCATGCGGGGTCGATCAATAACGCACTGCACCTTAACGCCGTTCTCCAGTCCACCTGAGATCTAAACGCAGGTATTTTTATCTTGATCGGGTGCAGGTACAGCGCAATCAGAATGGAGCATTTCAATTCCAACCGTTGGAGCCCACAGCGCATGTTTGACGACCGGTTCCTGTCCATCATGTCACATCCTATCCCGGCGTATCGACCAGCGTGATACAGGAAACAGATCCATGTTCCTGGATGAGAAAGCAAGCAAGCAAGGTCCATGTCCGACAGGACCCGCATGGTATCTGCCTAGATGTAGCCGCTGAGCCAGTTCGACGAGATTCGCCTTTGTCCATGCAAAGTGAGCACGGCGAAACGATTCCTGTGCTTGTAGGCGGCTAATGATTGATTCACATTGAATCATCGAAAGAGGCTGAGGCACTACATTATTCCTGTAGACCCGTAGCTAGATTCCATACACTGGTCGTTTCAAGTACATGGTTTATTGGCTATAGTTGATCGTGCTCTAGATGCCCGTACAGAGTTAGACGTCACTGCGGCTCTTGTTCCCAGAATAGCGGCACTTACAGTGCCCAACTCAGATTAAGTTCTCGGATAGGGCTGCTGGAATAGTTTGTTTCATGCTCTTTGAACGAGTACATGACCATTGGATAAGAAGCCATGTTGGAGGTCGTTTCTGAGGCAATAGTACGAATCCTCCTCCATCGGCCTAGCATACCAACTCGGTGTACTAAATAAGGAAATGGTATGATTCTAGCCATGACCTCATGAACAGCTGGCTTCTGGATGGGGTTTTATTTCCAATATTAAGGTGGGGATATAGCCCAGGTTTTTTTTGTTGGGGAGTATTTCATTTTATGGTGGTCATGCCGGTGTATAGCGGCATGATCAAACTTCAGCAAACTGCGCTCAACAAATCTGCAACGCTGCAGGTATCATGCGTGGCTTGAAATATGCCCAAATTGTAATGTTGGGAGTGCACGAAGCTAGACTGATGTCTGCTCGTACTTGTTGAATGAGATGTAGGCATGTTAGTCTTAATACGTTGAGCAGGATACAACTTAAGCAGTATGTTCATGCTACTCTCGGTGTGACCAACACAGTATAGTACATGCAGACCCATTTCTTGCTGTCAACCATTGACTTCCATTGATTGTCAGGATCGCCAATTCTGCATCGTTGCTCCGGCACGGGCAAGAGTTCGTGGAGACAATCGACTCTCACAAGAAAGAAATTATTACGCGCCCTCCGACCTCCTGTCATGTATAACGTATATCTGGGTCATATTATGGGTACAAAGCGTTGTTTCTTTTGGGTTGGGGGGGGGGCTTGCCTTGGGCCCTTGCGGCCTGTGCGTTACCTTGTGCTGGTTCAATGAGAGTGAGGAGCAGTATATTGGGTTACACAGCTCAATCTAGTAGATGCTTCATAATAATAGGAATTACTAATGAGATATCTATATCTTCGGGTTCGTAGGTCTTGAATACCAGTTCTGTGATTAGACTACAGTTAGGGTTAAACTCTTGTGATATCTCAAGCGGGATTTTGAAGAACCGGGGGGCCACAATAGTTTGGGATTATATAGGAGAAATATTCCTTACTTATAAGCATTCTTTGACTAGAAGCTGCGGGGATATATGGTGTCGAGCCATAAAAGGAAGAGGGAACAAAATAACTGATTTTTATGAGTTAACAAGAACAGCAAATATATATATATATCTACTAGGGATCAAAGCACAAGCTACCCAAATAACCCGGTATGTTAACTATTGACTCATTTACAGAGCTCCTGATTATAGTGTCGACTTACCGAAAAGTAGGTTTTTTTTATATAAGGTCTTGTATATGAGGCTTATGATTATTTTCTACTACGTTCCATGTGTTGATGTCGAGGTGTAAATGATACTGCGCTGATTGGTCGTGCGACATGGGGAACCCAGGGATCCACTGATCTGTCGGGCCCAACTTGAATAGCTTCAGCCCGCTATTCGGGCCGGCCGTGTTGGACAATAAATCCGCTCCTTTCTCTTTGATTACGAAGTTCCCTCACTTTAAAATGCAAAAGGGTTCAAGATGTTACGCCTACCAATGAGACATACAATTTTTCGCAGCTTTCCCCGGTTATCGACCGCGTCATCTTCCTCATCCCCCCATCGCATTCCACCCTGTACCTCCAACTCCACGCCGCTGCCTCTTCCTCGATCCATCTCGACATGCCTCTCCCCCCGTAGCCGCCCGGGTCACTCGATACCCTTCTCGCATACCTTCCCACGCTCGTCTAGTTCGTTCCGCGGCCGACCATTTTCTAGCTCCACAAAGCGAGGGTACCAGTATGGAGGGAACCAATATAGGCGATTTAATGACCCAAGACGCGAGCCGCTCTTCATTCGCTTGGTGAAGGATGCCAAACCGCACCACTTTGTCATAATAGGGTTGGGGATTAGTGGGTTCTACATATATAATACCGACACGGTAGAGGTGCGTCCCCGGTTGTTGATGCCATGCGACCGACAGCGTCACTTGCACCAGTGGGGCTAGCACCGCACAAGACGCAAGGATGGCCTGACATTTTGCTTTGTACCTGGTACTGATAACTTTCGCTTAGATGACTGGTCGCCGACGGTTCAACTGCGTCTCTGCGCAACGGGAACTCGAGATGGGCAGACAGAGCTATCTGGAAGTCCTGAACGAAAACCGGGGAAGCATTCTTCCTGAGCACCATCCGCTCACCATGCAAGTAAATCGTGTTTTGCAGCGCTTGATTCCGCAGGCGCCGATTGAAGGCGCAGACTGGAGGGTCCACGTCATCAAGGATGATAGCATGCTCAACGCCTTTGTTCTTCCTGGGTAAGAACCTCCTACTTTGCTATTTCTTACGTCGTACTTGCTGTCAATATACTAATTGGAGGCTCAGCGGTAAGGTGTTCGTCTATACCGGTATCTTGCCTATATGCAAAGACGAGGATGGCTTAGCAGCCGTGCTAGGGCATGAGATTGCCCATGTGGTGGCCCATCATCCGGCGGAACGCATGAGCAACAGCTTTATCACCATGGGAGCTGCTTTCCTTGTCTCACTGCTGTTTGACATCTCTGGACACCTCCCCTCATTGCTTATGAACCTTGCCTATAGCCTGCCAAACTCACGAACACAGGAGGTAGGTCTGGCATCGCCATTAGTTGGATGTGTGCTCAACTAATGACTTAACAGGCTGAAGCGGATGAGATCGGACTAAGTGCGTTCGTTGTCCAAATGTTGGCGCCGCAGAGCTAATGCGTAACAGTGATGATGTCGAAAGCATGTTTCAATCACGAGGCCGCAGTCGAATTGTGAGTCACGGGCAGCTCTTAATATTTTACGAGCGTCATGCAATCAAGACTATAGCTTGTATAGGCAAACTAACATTCTCTTAGATGGGCACGTATGCAGGAAGCTGAGAAGGGAGCACCGCCACAATTCCTGTCAACACATCCCTCGGTAGGTCCTTCATAGAGCTAAAACCGATTTTCAGAACCTTTGCTGATAATGTTCAAAGAGTTATAACCGTATGGAGGCGATCCGTGGATGGTAAGGTTGCCTTGAGTACTACTTCGACTGGAATGCGCTAACTTGACTCCTAGGTCCATTAAAGCTGAAGCAGCATATGAAGATAGTGGATGCCATGCCATTGGAGGCTTCAGTAAGATTCTATCCTCCTCATTGTACAATGCAGAATGGCTAATGATATTCCAATGTGCAGTGCCAGGATTCCGACAAGCCGCTTATCATGACCGCTGGTGACAGCTCTTATATGAGTGGGTATGGATACCTCAGTCCCAGGTAATCTCTTCTGTAAATTAGTAGGATATACGACATTGTACAATGATAATATAACGACCAATTCTCATCTCAAATATATAAAATGTATAAAGACATTAGTCAGTGACCCAAAAGGGAAATGCCCTAGGCAAGCCCCTCCGCGTGCAAACTAAACAAACATCCGCCGCCAGACCGTCTCGAAGCTCTCCGTCAAAAATTCCCAGAAACAGCTTCAGGACAGCGTTGTGGCTGATCTAATTTTCATCTTCCTCTTTTTCTAAGTACATAACTTGAGAGGAAGCCCCTTGTCATTATGTCGTTGTCTATGCCTGGTCCCTCCCAGGCCGGGCTTTTCAAGCCTGGCTATCAGAGGTAAGCGAAGCCCACTTGTGGAATGTTCCGCCCGATATCTTCTGAAACCAAGGCTCCAGTCGGGGAACTTGAGGGGGTTCGGATTGAGTCGTGCGTTGCTAGATAGCTGACTCTGGAACTTGCAGCCACGATGCCGAAGATGGCGCCGTTATTCGTAACATCGAAGCCTGCCAGGCTATCTCTCAGACTGTTCAAACATCGCTTGGTCCTTATGGCCGCAACAAGATCGTCATCAACCACCTGCAGAAGATGGTTCTTACTTCCGATGCCGCTACCATTCTGCGCGAGCTGGATGTCGTACACCCTGCCGCCAAGCTACTTGTCATGGCCAGTCAGCAGCAGGATGTGGAGATGGGTGACGGTACCAACCTGGTCATCATTCTGGCCGGAGAACTGTTGAAGAAGGCTGAGGAATTGATCCGTTTGGGTTTGAAGACGAGCGACATCGTCCAGGGTTATGAGAAGGCACAGAACTTTGCCCTCAAGGTGCTAGAAGGTGGGTGTGCCCGTGTCTCCAATAGCTCATAGTACTCTCAGGGGCTAGCATGAGTCGCAGCACCTTTCTTAAGTTTAGTTTACTGATCGATTGTCGAATGCGCAGACCTCGAAGTCGATCGCCTGAAGGAACTTCGCTCCAAGGAAGAGCTCAGCAAGGCTCTTCGTACAGTCGTCGCCAGCAAGCAGTCCGGAACGGAGGATACCTTGGCCTCGTTGGTTGCGGAAGCCGTGCTCGCTGTCCTGCCTAAGAACCCCGTTAATTTCAACGTCGACAACGTTCGTGTAGTGAAGATCATGGGTGGTAGCTTGGAACAGTCTCGTGTGGTGAAGGGAATGGTTCTTGGCAGAGAACCTGATGGCACCATCAAGAAGGCTACCAAGGCTAAGGTCGGCGTGTTCAGCTGCCCCATCGACATTTCTCAGACCGAAACCAAGGGCACTGTGCTGTTGAAGAGCGCGGATGAGATGCTTAACTTCACCAAGGGTGAGGAGGAACGCCTTGAGACCGCCATTAAGGAGCTCTATGACTCCGGTGTTCGCGTCGTCGTGGCCGGTTCCTCCGTTGGTGATCTGGCTATGCACTACCTCAACCGCTTCAACATCCTTGTGATCAAGATCCTCTCCAAGTTCGAACTCCGCAGACTTTGCCGTGTCGTCGGCGCTACTCCTCTTGCCCGTCTAGGTGCCCCTATGCCCGACGAAATGGGTAGCATCGATGTCGTTGAGACCACCGAAATCGGCGGTGATCGTGTGACCGTCTTCCGTCAAGAGGAGGCCAACACTGTGACCCGCACAGCTACCATTGTTCTGCGTGGAGCGACACAAAACCACTTGGACGATGTCGAGCGTGCCATCGACGATGGTGTGAACGCGGTCAAGGCCATTACCAAGGACCCCCGTCTGGTTCCCGGCGCAGGCGCTACTGAAATCCAGCTCGTGGAGAAGATTTCTGCATTCGCCGATCGGACCCCAGGATTGCCTCAGCATGCCATTCGTAAGTACGCTGAGGCTTTCGAGGTCATCCCCCGCACCCTTGCGGAGTCCGCTGGTCTCGATGCCACCGAGGTTCTTTCTCGTCTGTACACAGCCCACCACCGCGCCAGCACTGGTGCCGACGCCTCGTCAGAAGAGGAGTCGGGTAGCTCCGAGGAAGAGGAACCATACTGGACGACCGGTGTTGATCTGGAATCGGGTACCTCGGCTGGTACTTTGGACACCGTCGAGGAGGGTATTCTCGACCTGTTGGCTTCCAAGAGCTGGGCTATCCGCCTGGCCAGCGAGTCCGCGCGGACAGTCCTCAGCGTCGATCAGATCATCGTCGCTCGTCAAGCAGGTGGTCCCAAGCCACCCGGCCCCAACGCTAACTGGGATGAGGATTAAACATGAAGCATTACATATTTAATTGGGGTTAAAATAGGAATGTGATAGATACGATATCATGAAAAGTCCATTGCTCAAGGATTTGACCTAAGCGTGTTGGTGATAGTAGTGGTAATATTGGCTACTGTGTATAATGCGAGTCACATTTGACTATCTTATCCTCTATCGTATGAAGTGTAGTATTTTTCTATGTACCTATATGTTAACCAGAAGAAGCTGTTTGGGGTTGATGTTTACTAGCTTTGAAGCGTTCCGGCGCATCGGACGAGCAGCTCACGTGACCGACACCTGGATTTTCCGGACCGAAACTCGACTTTCTTTTTCAGTTCAAGACTTTCGGATAGCTCTCTGGTTCGGTTTGATTGAGCAGCGCCTGATTCTCTCCATCTCCTCAACGCTCGTCTGTCTCCTCTCCGGTCACATCCCTTCACAGCCATCATGTCAATTTCTTCGCAGGTCGCCGCCCGCTGCTGCAGGCAGATTGTCCGCCCATCCGCCGCTTCTTTGCGCCTCTCTTCCTCGACATATCTGTCTCAGCGGACACGGAGATGGCAGTCCACCGAGGCGGAGGCTGCTGCCCCTGTCAACCCTAAGATTAGCCAAATTGTTGACCAGATCAGCACATTGACGCTTCTGGAGACCGCCGACCTCGTGGCCACCCTCAAGGTTCGTTCATTGTTTGTTTCTTTCCGCATATCGCAAACCGATGTAGTGCAATGTTTTTTGCTCGCGTGCACCTCCATCGGGGAGGGGGGGGGATTGGATACATTGATGAAAGCAATTGATGAGAACACTATATACTGATGTCACTGTTTCCCCTGTAGTCCCGTCTCAACATCCCCGACCTCCCCGTTGGCGGTTTCGCCATGGCCGGCGGTGCTGCTCCCGCCGCCGCTCCCGTTGAGGAGGAAGAGGCTGCTCCTGCCGCCCAGGAGAAGACCCTCTTCAACCTGAAACTCGAGACCGTTGACGCCGCCTCCAAGGCTAAGGTCATCAAGGAGATCAAGTCTCTCCTCGGCCTGTCCCTGGTTGACAGCAAGAAGTTCGTCGAATCCGTGCCCAAGGTCCTGAAGGAGTCCGTGCCCAAGGAGGACGCCGAGAAGATCATCGAAACGCTCAAGGCCGTCGGTGCTAAGGCCGTCATGGAGTAAACGGGGAATAATAATTTCGATGAATTGATTTATACCTGGTGATTGCCTCTTTTCCTGGCTCTGCGAATCGGGGCGACAGGGGATCAGGACGGCCGGGACGTTGTGATTGGACTGCATCATCGAGCTGGAGTTTTGTCTCTCACCACTTATTACTGTGTTTTTAGTGTTTTCTTTTCTCCGTCGTATATCTCTTGAAATGTTTCTGATATAACCGGAAAGCGGGAAAAAGGCGGCAAATGTACATTATCATCTCTTGATTTGGACAATTTGGATCCCTGATGGACGAACGATCTGTGTCTGTTCAACTCTTTCTTGCTGTCTATTGAGCTTTTCCACGACGGATGGACGATAGATATGCTGTTTTACTATTATGAAGTTAATCATGGTTTATTAGTTTATAGAAGATGCGTAGCGGTCCAATTGCAGGAAAATGTCACATCCCAAACAAGACTACCATATAAATAACATATGTAAAACCATTCCAGTATCCACTACTCGTTGTTTTGCCAATCCAAGTGGTAAGTACGTAAAGTCAAGTCAAAATAAAAACAGCTCCGCTCCTCCAAGGAAATCTCTCCGCCGCTCCCATAAATCCATACATAACCTCCAACAGAAAAAAAAAAGAAAAAAAAAAAAACAACAAACCGCCTCACTCCCACTCCCTCTCCCAAACAACCCACCCACCCACCCACATATACACATACACACACATGATGTCCCTC